GTCGGTCGGTGGGTGACCGATTTCAACAAAATGTTTTGTGAAAATTCTAATCGAAAAATAAATTATATGACACATGTTCCTGCGTTCCTTCGGATGGTCCTTTGAAATATTTTCAACAAAAACAAACAACATATATATAATTTAGGATGATAATAAATAAAAACGATGGGTTTGAAAAGAGGTCGAAACGGTACCATATATACTGTATTAAATATACTGTAATTTATAGGATTTTACTTTAAAAATAATTGTGGGTAAATGGTTGACTGTCGTGAATAATGAAGAGAAGAATAGTTGGGGTGATCAGTCAAATAAGAAGGCAAAAATAAATGATAATATTTATTTTGACATTTGCCGACGTTTCGACCTGAAGTTCAGGCCTTCATCAGGGCTAAGAAAAGAACCAGATAACAAGGTATGAGAAACATAAGTAGTGTAGGTAAAAAAAATTTAAAATAAAATGAAGTTGTTAGAATAATGACAATAGTAAGAACTAAGAGATAAATAATAATAACCGTTACAAAGTGTGGAATGATGAAGTAAACATAATCAAAAAAGGTGACATAAGTATTAAAATGGGAATCTTAGAATAAAATGTAAAACAGAAAAAAAGAATATGAAGTTATATAAGAAATGAAAATAAATAGTAAAATTAAGATATTGCAAATAGAATAGTTAGATAGAAAATTGAGATATTGTAAAGTCTATCAAAATTTACAGACAACTTATAATATAATAAAGAGTTAAAACATAGAAAAGGAAGGAGGAAAGAAACTGAGAAGTCTGAAATAAGAAAGAGAAAAAAGAAAAAAAAAACCTGTCTCCAAAAATACTTTTAAAATAGTATATTTCTATTTTTTTTTGGGGGGGGGAGGAGTGAATATAAGGCCAATTTATTAATAATTAATTAAATATATATAAAAAATATAAAATATATATATAAATATAAATAAAATATAATATATTTTAACAGGAATAAAATGAAACTTTTCACTTGCACCGGATCCGTAACTAGACATCAGTTTAAATCAAGAGCTTACTTTTAAATGAAAAAATAATTTCTTAGTCAACCTCCTAAATCTGCCTTCGGATTATAGACTTCTACCCAAGTAATCCAACCGAATCTTCCTAACCTGAGTAACAGTTATCCCGGAGATGGAGTGGGACTGTACCGTAACAAACATTGAACCAACCGAGGCGTGAAAGAAAGTAGAGGAGGAAGGGTTGGATAATGCTCCGTGCTTCACCGGTGAGTCACATGGACCTGTCTGCCAACTCTGTCTGCCCAAACCTCACTGCGAAAACGTCACCTTACATTTCTTGCCTGAGCAGCTTTAAACAGGCCACTAGAGTATTAGAATAGAATAGAAAATCATCTTTATTCTGGGACTAGGTCCCTTAGGAATAACGGTATTGTTCATATAAATTAATAATAAATCTGGCCAAAAGACTATTACTATAAAGAATAACTATATACATAGTTAATAATAATTATATACATAGCTCTTAGGATATATTAACGAAAACAGTTGGCTAATAGGGTTGCAATACTAAAACAATAACATAACCCATAAACATAAACAACCCAGTATTACACCAAGTTAAAGGGGCTCTATCCATCCAACCGCCGTCTGTACTTCCTTGCCACCTTTCTATACCAAGTCATCAGAACTCACCGGCCTTCCTATATTTTTCACAGCCTGCAGTTCAAATATTCCATTCAATCGCGTCTCACTAGATCTCATACCTCCGACCTCTATCCACCTCCCCACCGAACTGCAGCGTTTGACAAATCCTTTATAATTCAAGCCGTCTCATTCTGGAATACCATCCCTCCCGATATTCGACATGTACAATCAGTTTCCTCATTTAAATCTCTTCGTTTTAACCAACTATTCCTTTCCCAACCCGATTGATCATGAAATATAGGTAAGAGAACTTTTAAAGTTCCCCCAGAAATGATTTTCTTTACTTATGCTATTTGCCACGTTTGTATTATACATATCAGTATGTTTTTAGTGTAATAGTTCTATTTTTTGTTTTATTCTTTTTCCAAAATCTTAATCCTAATAAGAATTGTAAATAATTAATTTTATGAATGGCATTTATTCTGAAACTGTAATTTGTTCTTAAGGGACAACAGTCCCAGGATAATAAAAAAATATTTTCATTTCATTTCATTCATAATAAACACTAAATGAAATTAGAAAGGAAAGCTAAATAAATTTTATAGCACAAACATTGTAATGATGGAATATAAAAATTTTAAAAAAATAAATGTTGATATATAAAAAAAAATAAATCGTAAAAAAATGATTTACATATGTTCCATAAGATGTTTAAGTGAATACAAGTACAGATTAGGAGAAGAAAAAAATAAAATAAAACATGTATATATATATATACACACACATGGAGAGAAGACAAGTAGAAAATAAAATACATTTCAAAGAAATACAATCTCATGAATAGGAAAAGTATAAGTTAAAAAAAAACAAATTTCACCTCCTCACAATGCTTTTTGGACAGAATAAAAAAATAAGATAAAAAAATAATTTTTTATTACAAAGGGCGCTAATAATTTCGCATTGGGAATAGTTTTTCCTCTCGGTTTGATTTTGAGCAGCTGAAATGATTATTATTTTGTAAACGATTCTTAAGGTTCTCTTTCTAGCTAAATCACTAGCTTCAAAATCTGTTTCATACAAGTTATTTTAAAAATATATATAGCATTTCCAAGTCAATTTCAACCTTTTCCATTTCCAATTCAACCTTTTCCATTTCATATTCAACTTTTGAATTTTTGTCAATTTTCGATTATTTTTTCGAAATGAAGGCCACTTACTATATTATCGAAGGCATAGCTTTTGAAAAATACAAACAAAATTTTAATAACCATGTTGCATATCCATTTATTTTAACATTTTAGATTTTTTCAGTTTAATATTTCTATGTCATATTTAATTATGTCTATGTCATATTTAATTATTTCCAAGTCAAATTCAACCTTTTCCAAGTCAAATTCAAGCTTTTCCAGATCAAATTAAACTTTTTCGAAGTCTAATTCAACCATTTCCATTTCAAATTAAACCTTTTCCAATTCAAATTCAACCGTTTTCATTTCAAATTAATGTTTTACTTTTTTGTAAATTTTATATATTTTTTAAAATAATGGCCATCCCCTCCTCCCGCCCTCCAATATGAAAGTCTATTATTATGCTCTCCTAAGTAGAATTTTCACTTACGGATATCGATTTGTTGTACCCATTCGGATTTGTTAGGAACTAGTATTATGCTGTCCTGTACCTAGTTTTTAAAATAACCTCCATTTTAAGATTACGCCACTGCGTTTCAACTTATTTAAGTTTTTTTTGATTTATTCTATACAAGGGTGTATTCTTATGTTTTCCGAGCCGTAAATTATGAAAATAAGCTCCATTTTATGATCAGGCCACAGCGTTTCGTTTTATTTAAGTTTTCTATCTATAAGGTGGGGCAAAAGGTCCCATCCTAGGCTCAATAATTTATTGCGAGTGACCAATGAGGTGTGGGGCCTAGCGTTGAACACAACACCCTTCCGATCATTCATAACTCTTCAGGATGTTCTCCGAATTCGATGTTTTTTTTGTGTTTTTTTTTTTATTCCAGCAAAATTACACCGCGGCCCCAGTTGGCCTATTGTGCGCTGGCCATATCCCCTTCAAAACCATTCAAGGCCAATGGCCTTTGCAAACCTAATTAGACCCATTGGGTCTATTGTTTCGCAACGCTTCGGATCTGGAATTCGGTCAATTCCTAAATGTAGGAACCGAGTCCTAGCCAGGATATCACAACCACAGATTATGTGGAAAGCGGTTTCATCTTCCAGCCCGCAGAATCTGCAGGTTGGTGTTTCTATTGTTCCCAGATTATGGAGATGTTTATTCAGTCGACAGTGTCCTGTATAGAGTCCCGTAACTGTTCTAAGATTCTTCCTGTCCATATTGAGGAGTGATTCACTTCTTTTCGGACAGGGCCTATCAAGAAACAGCTTTGAATGTGTCTGTTTCTTGATGTTTTTCCAATGTGACCTAAACTTATGGCCAACGGTTGCTTTAATGCTCCTTCTGGCATAGCTAGGACTTATGCCACAAATCGGCTCTGGTGCCGTGGGGATGCTTCCGGAGCCTTTCCTAGCAAGATGGTCTGCCCTCTCATTGCCCAAAATTCCCGAGTGTGCCGGGACCCATTCGACCCTTACCCTACTGGTTGTAGAGAGAATGTTTAGGTTAGCTTTACATTCGTCCACCAATTTGGATCAGGTTGCATAACCTTCAAGAGCATAGATAGGCATTCGATGTTACTATATCCGTTGAAAAGCTGAATTATTGCTCTTCAAAGTCGTATGAATGGTTGATATCATTTTGTGTAGTTATTATAAACAATACTACCTATAAGCTAGTTTCAACAGATATAGTTGTTGACATATTACAAACAGGATAAACAATCCACCTTAGGGATTAATTCATCAGATAAGAAATGTACCATAGTGGCATAAAAATAAACAGAAAAACCGAAATGACTTATTTGCCAACCCAATATTTGTACATATGGTAATGGCTAATTTAGCCTTGTCTTCTCGTGTCACTGATTTAGCACAGTTTTTACAATTAACCATCTTAACGAAAACTGCTATCACTTAAGAGTATCGTAATTTAAATCGAATGTATGACATAAAAACAATAATAATAGCACACCTGTTTGTTTGGGTGGCGGCTACTGGGATTAAGGTGAGGCTTGATAAACTGTCCTCACTGCTCAAACTCTGCTGCCTTTGCCACGGGCACATTGTTTTATTACAATCTCTGTTAATGTCATTTAAAAGAAAACTGTAGTATTAATACTATAGAATTGCCTGTAAACAATACTAAATACCTGTGATGTTTTTATAATGGCAATATGATGATAAGTGTTAATAATTTTTTTATAAACTATTATATGGAATGTATTTAACATTTCAGGTTCACCTAAACAAAGATTTTGGAATAAAAACAATAAAAAAACATCCGAAGACAATTAGTGTTTGACCGAAAGGTAAGTACACCTAAACACTTTATTATTATCAAAATTGTTATTTAATTTTAATTTGATTTTTCTGATTCTTTTTTTCTAAAAATATGTACTAATTGTAAATTTCATTCCCAAAAGTACCATAATTCGGCTAAATGTTGACTATTTTTCAAAAAGTTTAAAACAACAGACGTATCTTGAAATGATTTTTTTTTTAATTTATAATAACTTTCACCATTGCTATCTACATAGTTTTAGAATGTTTTTATTTATTTATTTTATATTCAGTTTATTTAGAATGTTACTCTTATATTTATTTTTTCTGTGCATTTCAGGAATATAATAAATATACTAAGAAGATGGTAATTGCTATTCTCTTTACCAAACTAAGAAGCAAAATAAGTTCACTTGAAAAAGGTGAACCATTGCTCTATTATAAATGCCAGGTGAGATTTATTTAAAAAAAACTCAATGCATCTTATGTTTTAAGACCCCACAATGTCGATAATTTATTTTTTCTATTATTATTATCCAATCCCTAACTTTAATAACAAAGACATTAGTGATTAATTTCTATTTAATTAATTAACACAACAGATATTGAGCTATGAAGCTATCTTGGCATTCCTTGTAATATATGAAAGTTTTAAACAAGCTAAGAGTGAAACTAGATAATTTCCTCGTATAGACTGCTATTTGTTACGTTTATTATTTATGCAATAAAGTAACTATACTTTTACAGTTATTTTTAGAGCTATTTGTAGGTAAAGGAAGGTAAGGGGCTATTTTTGATTTTTGCGCCAAGAACTAGCCGATTGTGTACACTGAGTTTGAAATTTAAACTCTATAAGGCAAGTGGTCTCCAAACGTTTTGTTCCGCTGGTAATGGCTTGTGGTGAAAAAACAATCTTGTTCTATAAATGACACTTCAGTTGTGAAATGAGCTTTCTAATGGAAATAAATGTTATAATAATCTCGTGCTTGCGTGATTTACTAAATTTCATAGTTTTTTTTTTTAATTTTACCATGTAAAAAAAGAGACTCGCTGACCGGATTGGGGGTGCTTGTGGTTGTTGTTCAAAAAAAGTATCTCTTATTTTAATTCTTATATTAAAAAAAATTATTTAAATAAGCTTTTTACACAGATTCCGATTTAAAAAAAGCTCCAATATTATCAGAAAAATTTATTTCTTATAACTTTTTAGCAGTCACCGTTAAAGATAAATTCGTATTAATTTAAACCACCATGGCCCGCCTGAAGGTAGTTAAAATATATTTAAAATTATTCTTGTATGTATAATTGTTCGAACAATTTCTAGGTGTGTACTATTATCTCCTATACCTAGACATGCTCTCAAATTTAGTTTTAAGAATTATATTGAACATAAAGAAAATAAGCTTCAATAGTTATGGAGACCCTTACTCTAAGGTATCAATTCTGTTTATAATATTCTATAGAGTAAATCCAATTTTAAGATATCGTACGGTATTTATTGTTTTTGGTTAGAATATCAAAATTAACTACATTTATACCTTTATTTATATCATGTTTACCTATTAATTCATTTCTGAGGGAAATTGAGAGAAATAGATTAGGTCTTATCGGCTGGTCTCCTTCATGTAAATTTATGTTTCCTCAAATTTAGATTAACTAGATGATTAACGATATATACACACACAAAAAAACTAATCTCAAATTTCACTTTTATTTAAGACCTATCACAGTTTTTGAATACTAGTGCTATATATAGTACGTTCATTACATTTCTATTTTTTTCTCCCCCAAAACATGTAATTAAATTAATATTTGCTTAATATGTCTAAGCAATTGTATTGTAAATTATCATAGATTTTATATTTGAATGTCATTCAATTAAAACAATAAAGTAGATTACCTTTATTGGGAACAATGTGTAATTAGATAAGCTTCAAACGCTATCGATTGTTCTTAATTTAAAAAAAAAAACAGAAATGAGAAATAAAGAAACGGTTCTATAATCATCGCTAGATGGGATACTATTTTAACTGGATCTGGAACTGTTTTTATTACCAAATATTAATGTCTACTATGTTTAGGGACAATAAGTAATCGTAATAACTGTAACCATTCAAAACATGTTTACAACAATTTATTAAAACATAACCAAATAAATAAATTATACATAAACACAGCCATTATAAGCTCGCCCTTTATGGCAGTAGGCCCTGAATCCAGGAGAACTCATTTCTTTCTTAATTAAGCCTTTAGTATTGAAAGCCAATGGAGGCTAAGTAAGACCTGGAATTACTTTTTAAAAATTAGTCTAAAAGACAGGAGAAGATAATTGAATGCAAACACAAATTTCTAGGTAAATGATATATAGTTTCCGAGTCAGAAAAATGTAAGATTTATAATAAATAAAATTATATAAATTTTGAAAAATTTTCATCTATAACTTTACAATATCAATTACTCTTTACCACCGTGACGCATTAAACACGGCGAATTAGCTTCAAATTAAAGTGTTATCATAGACCAATAGCTTCGATATCTTTGATAAATAGAGGGGGCATTTCCTCATGAATTCAACACTTCAACTTTTTTGACTCTTTTTTCACAACCCTACTCTATTTCACTTAGCTCTTTAAATTATCATGTACTGAACATAGTTTTCAGACAAGTTACGTTAACCAGTTGTCTTGGCAACTGTAGATCCAGTGTTTATTGTTGGTTATTTAAATTCGTGTTTTCAGTCAATCGAGTCCCAAATGAAACAGAAATAAAGACAAACAAGTGTTGTTTTCAAATATACAAAATTTTATGAGAAGGTAATTAGGTATATGTTTGTTGTACCTTACAAAGTTTAGGAGATCAATTGGTGGGTTGTTTAAAAAAATTTCTCTTATTTTAATTCTTATATTAAAAGATTTTATTTAAATCAAATTTTTACAAAGATTGCTATTTAAAAAAAGTTCCGATATCCTCCGGAAAATTGATTTCTTATAATCTTTTAGCATTCATTGTTAAAGATAAATTGGTATTAATTTAAAAGTAGAAAAGTAGTTAAAATATATTTAAAATTATTTTTGTGTGTATAAATGTTCGGAAAATTTCTGGGTATGTACTAATATCTCCTATAAGTAGAAATTCTCTCAAATTTAGTTTTAAGAATTGCATTGAACATAAAGAAAATAAGGTTCAGTAGTCAAATGTTTCGAAAAATACCTCAAACTAAAAAATTTTAAAAATTTACATTAAATATTAAATCTTCGTTTTTATTGTTTTCAAAATTTTAATTTTGTCTTCCTAGATAAGAAATAAACTTTTATATTATTCTTTTAACTGTATATAACAATTCTTTATTTCCTCTCTAATCTAAATAAATAAACAAACACAACACCGTTAATTGAACTAATGTTTAAAACTAAATAAAAGGTGGGGTCAATGGGTAACCATTTAATACGGCCTCGAGAAAAAAACAATTTTTATTTACGTGTTCCACTAATATCGCTGTCCGTTACTAATAAAATATAATTGTTTTCAATATCTGACTTTTATTCTTTTTAAATGTCATTATGATTTCATAAGGGTAAATTGAGAGTATTTAGTCGAACATTTATGTCTTGATCTGTATCGATTATTGAGTTGTTGTTAATACAATCTTTAAAATTGTGAGGAAGTATCAATAGTGTTTAAAATATCATCGATAATTTTTAAAAAATTGTATAATACAAATCAAATAAAATGTTTAATATTTCATAAGAACTATTATAAAATGATTATTTATAATTAATAAACCATACACTTTAAGTTATTACAAAAACATATATTATAATTATATTTTGTGATTTATTGTTTTTAAAAATCATATTATTAAAATAACGGTCATATGTAGTAATATAGATAGTAGTTATAAATAAGTATCTAAAATTATGCGTTTTAAGAGGTCTCTATCATTTTCGAATTTAATTTATTGCCAAATTAAATTCCCAGGTTTAAACAAAGAAACCAGGATTTTTTTATTGTAATTCGCGTAAATTTTCTAATTTTAACGTCATATTCGCGTTCCTAGGCCTTTGAAACATAAGTGTATTAAATAAATTAGTCCGACATCATTTAAGAGTTCCAGACCCATGTCCACGAAAACCCGCCTTGAGTCCCACTGTGCGCCGGTTTAAATCCGGCTGAGAGGGCTGACTTATATTTCGTGGCGGACCCACTGAATGAAACTCAACCCTCCCACTCTGGTTATAATAGATTTAGTTGTTCCTCTGGAACAACTCCCCCGAATTGGAGTCTACGCTTATGTTGAGGTAGGAGGTGGCTGAAGCGATGGAATAGTTTGAGGGTGAAAATTGTCATTCGAGAGATATGAGAACTATGGTGATTCCAGAAGATGTTTTGATCAATGAAAAATCCTAATTTTTTAACAGAGGAGTAGAAAGAGATTGGCTGGTCATTAAGGTGTAGGATGGGAAAGTCGGTATGGGATCTAAGGAAGGGCTTGGAAGCAATTACAATGGCCTGAGTTTTGGCAGCATTTGACCTTAATCTGTTTACATTTGCCCAGGCACTGGTTCTTGGATCTTGACAAATGCTCCCAATAACTCAGGAAGGGAAAATGATAGGTAGATCTGAGAATCGCCAGCATTAATTTCTTTCTTCTCGCATTTTATATCTGTTTCTAATACTTCTCCTTTATCCTCCGTTCCGGCTTTCCTCTAGAGATACCATTTAACGATAATAACTTTAATTTTTCCGACATTTCCCCCAAGAGACCTTTTAACCGCTGTAATGAAATCCCACAACAAATTCCATAGGACCAAATGGCATTCCTGTCAAATTACCCACCATATTTTATGAGAAGTAAATCAATTAAAATATAAATAAATACCGGTAGACAGTTATTGATGTGATGGAAGTAGTAAACAGCGTGTCTAATGCCGTAAGGATTAGTAGAAGATTACAGTTCCTTAGCTCTTGGAAATCAGTTAGGCTTAAGCACTTTTTTACGTAGATAAAATTAGATATACGTCACTTTAATCAGTGAACACTAATAATGTTCTAGAAAAAAAAGCTGAACTTAAGATGAAGATTAAAATAAAGAAAAACTGTTTAGATATAAGGGAATTATAGCGATGTTCATAGGTAGCTGTCTCTGGCCAGACTCTATGGTCTTTGTAGTAATTGAGTAATTTGTTTAAAAACAAAAATTTCAGTATTCGGTGGAAGAAAAATTTGATGCTCTACAACTTTCTATTCTATGGGTGTTTCCTTTTAGAGAACTCATTTCGAGTTACAGGACATTTATAGTAATTTGTCTCAGTCATGGACTAATTTGGTAAAAATCAGCGTTGGTTGACCGTGGTTTTATACCTTAGCACGTAACCAAATTATAAAGTTTATGTACTCGTTTGGCGCACAATTTAAAGTTCTTTAATTTATTAACGAGTACATTTTTTTGCT